TATTTCACCAAACTCTACGTACTAATAAGGATGTTAACAGGTGGTCCTGCCCCACCAGACCTTTCTCACAGCAGGCATTCTTACAGGAACACAGGTGAAGCACATTTAGTTAACGATGGCTCCGTTCCATTAAGTGTCCCAGTAAGCCATGACAGTGAATCAGCATGAACAATACCAGGACCACGAAACTAGCTAAAACAAATGGAATACAGTCATTTTTAATGTCAACAATTATCCCTGCTGTGCTTTTCCTGCTATGTCAAGCCAAAACATAAAAAAGTAAAAAAAAAATAAACAGATGCTCGAGGGAAGTGTCAATCAAGCGCAGTATGACACCCCCACTGTCCTGAGGCTTAATTAGCCAACATAAGTGACACACTGTGCAATGGCTTTAAGATTTAACAGACAAAATATCAAAGTATGACGTATTATGATTTATTGAACTACCAAACAGTATAATAACTAGTTTTTATTTTTAATTTACTCGGCCCAAACAGCTACTACATTAAGATGCTAATTATACTTTAATGCACTAGTAGTGAATAAATCAATGATACGTGAAAATATAACACTGGCAGCATTCACTCTGCATAATAAGCACTTTTACTTTGATACTTTTGACACTTTACTTCCACCCCCCAGTTTAGCAGTACAGAAGCAGTATATGACCATATAACTATAATTTACTGCAGTAACAACTATGATACAGTTGTAAGCAGATATAAGGACATTTTAGTGTACGTGTTTATTAGAGGACAGTATTTGTCAACAATCACGCCTTCTCCAATGAAGACATATTCTACATGATTGCAGCTGTGTTTTACTACATTGTCATTCATTATCTGTTTATACACTGGCCTCCACTCATGGTTGCCCACAGGGGGAGTTATAGTTGTTAACAAATAGATTTAGAAACACTTACAACTACATTATGGTGTGTTTTAAACCTTTTTTTTATGTTTATATACTGCTTCCATAAAAAGGGGGCTGAAAATAAAGTGTTTTTTGTTGTGACTATTTATACACTGTGGTATCACAGCATAAGCCGCTGTGCCAGAAAGTCTGTCAAAAACAGGTATTTATAGTTTAAATCTGTCAGACCAAACATTTGTTCCTCAATGTATCACTGCATGTTTTCACTAATGTAATGCATCTTCTCCTAAAAGGTAGTGCATTTGACTGTCAGCTGACTGCTGCTCATCTTAATAGATAAACAAATTTTGCTATTTGTTTTCATCTTGGTGAATGTTCTGTCATGGGAAGATCATAGTCTCACAAATCAAGCTGAAAGTGACTGTTAAAATCATCAGTCCGCACAATATGTGAACAGGTGGATGCACTGTTGTCAGAGTAAGAGGAAACAGCTGCCTTCCGATCATCACTTGAGGAATATAAATCCCTTGTGCCCATTTCTTGAAACCAAAATAAAAAAGCAACAGTTGACTGGCAGCACTGTCACTGTGCTGGGTTGAGGGAGGGATACCAGTCACACTGCAGACACTGCTACTGTAACTATTGCACATGGTTACAAAGGGTGCACTCACTTCACTGCCCCACATATAAAATGAAATGATTAATTCCTTAATTGTCCTGACCAGCGCCTTTTAGAGCAGCAGTTTTTGTCAAACCAACAACTCTAGTCTGTACATACATTTTTCCTGTGAACAAAACATCTGAATGTAAATGAATGAAAAAAAACACAGAGTTCCAGCTAAAATCTCCCTCTCTCTCTCTCTCTCTCTCTTTTTTTTCTCCTCTTTAAAAGTACAATGAGTTATTCAGCAAAATGAGCTGGTGAAGTGATTGTTTGGGATTAAAAGCTGCTGGGGGAATGGAAATTTAGAAGAGAGGAGCACGTATGCAGACACGATCTCTACTGCAGCTGAAGATAACACAAGGTGGAAAGTGTCAAAGTGTCTTTATTCAAGAGCTGAACCTACTGTCAGTACAGTTTTGAGGTGCTGACACTTGGATTTTTTTTTTTTCTTTTCTTGGGATAGAAGATTTAAACATTTCAAGCTTTGACTTTGAAAGTGTTTCTCATTCAAAGTTAAAAGTACATCATATTGCAGGATGACATGTTCAGACTGTTAAATTACCTGTCACAGTTTACTGCATCAATATTTGTATTCATACCTTGGATAAATCTATTTTAATGTTAATACTTCTATACATCTGACTGACAGTTTTTCTACCAGCAACTCCTTCTGTAGAACCATTTATTATTTCATGTAAATTATAAAGGTTTAGCCAACAAACAATTCAATTAAAGACAAAAACACATGTACTCGAAAATGTGGAGAAACTCGCCCAGAGCCCCTGTACCAAAAATACACAATGAACACATTTCCTGAGTGAAAACTGCAGCAAAAAAACCTTTACTTTTTGAAATGAGGCTTCTGCTGTCTGAAGGGTTGAACAGATTCAAATATTAAGAATTATACAGCTGCAGCATTTGGCAGACGTTCTCATCCACAACATCTTACAGTGCTGCACAGTATTCATGATGAAGACACCAACAGATCAAGTGAATGTGAGTCATCCGAGTTGATTAGTTTGCTTCAAGTGAAAGAGCTGCTTCAAGATTTAAAAGTCTGTAGTCCAAATTTCCATTTTAATTTCATTTTTATGACATTTATCTTATAAGTCAAATGCTTAATTCTGGTACCAAAACATTTTAATATCCACCTATATGGAGAAACACAAAAACCAGCATATCTATCCACAATTTCTGTTATATATCAATTTGTTATACAACTCCGGTCCTGGTAGACAGTTCACATAAAGTTTGTCCAAAACAGCCATTAAACCAGAAGTGCATGCTTAAGACCACGTCTGCATATGCAAACTAAAATCAACAGCATTTACCCAACAGCCTGATAATGAAACTGAACCGCCATCTTGTTTCACTTCACTCATTGAATAATAAATCAGAAACATGGGAACCAGGTTACAGCAGAACCACACTTTGCTAAAAGTTCTGCATGGCACATTCAAATAAATAAACAGTTCTTCTTCTAAACAATCTGCCACGCCTCCACCAGAGGGCAACAATAAGTCAAAAGCTACACATTACAAATAAGACCATTTAAAAAGTAAGAAATATTAAAACTTTAATCACAACACAAATTGCCTTGTTAATAAAACACAATTGTATTCCATATTGTGACTCTTACAGTCCCTAATCTGAATTAAACAGCTTTTTGGTGTGGCTGACATATTTGACATTGGACCTCTCGAACTCAGAAGTCCTCCAGCTGGTGTAAATAAATAAAATAAAATAGAGCTCCTGAACTTCAATAATACACACTGAGCTCTCTCACCTTCTCTCCCTATCTGTGTGCATGCCGTATCTCGCCGCTCTCTGGGCGTCGGCTCAGAATACCATCCCAAATGTGTGAATGGATTTGCTTACCGGCATCAGCGGGGGCTGACTTCGCACACTTTGAGGGCCCTGCACAATTTGCTGGTTGTCTCAGCTGTGAGTCAGAGGTGTTACCGACCCCTGGACAGACAAGGACAACCACAATCACAGATAGCAGCAAAGCCTTTAAATCCTGCTGGATTGATCAAGGAGCACGGTGAGACATAAAGTACACTCATCCAGATGAGAAGCTGAGGTGATGCTGGCCTGCAGCTCAGGAGGACTTTGGGGATAAGCTGGCCTGTCATAGTTCAGGGCATCAGATTATCATGTAAAACTATTTGAGGGGGATAAAACCAACATTAAGGAAATGAAAAACGCTGCCATGTCAAATTATCTCTAAAACAAATTTACTCAATTCTGTCTTGTTCCTAAAGCTTGACTTGATTTTGAGAGACAGTGGCCTGAGGTAACAGATGCTCATCCACCAACAGTTGATCCTCCATTCACTCAACAGCACTTAGATTAACATTGATTCCACAAAAAATCTGACTTGCTTGTAGTTTTTCTTCACTCCGAAACTTTTTGAGAGCCCTCACTGTCCTCTGCATCAAAGTGTATGACTAACTGAAGGCTGCGTCTGTCTGCTTCATTTTTCATGCCTCTTTTCCTGCTCTACTTCTCTGAAGATGATGGACGCTCTTGAAATCTACGGGGACAGCTAGTCATTAGGCTCGAGGTAAAGCGAAACACACTGCGTGACTGTGCTGAGGGGGGCTGCAGAGGGGCGGAGTAGAAGGTTACAGCGGAAAAATAAGAGGCAGGGGAGTGAGTTTGAGCACTTTTGTCGGCTGACATTACAGAGTCACATTGTAATGCAGCAGATAATAGCCTGCAGGTCAGACTGGGGGGGCCGGGGGTGCAGCAGGCACCTGCTGCCATTCATTCAAGGTGACAATAAGCCGATGTCACCAAGTCCTAGTTGTGGCTCTGCAGAGTGCCGAGCCCCTGGGTGTGTGTGCGTGTCAGAGAGGTTTTATAACAATCTGTGCTGCATCAACACTAAAGCTGCTCACATAAATCAGCTAAAAGAACAATAAAAAAAAATAAAAAAGCTGTGACATAATATGAAAGCACCTGCTGGCTGCAACATAACCACCCTGCATCTGTACTGATCACCTCAACAAATCACTCTGCATGCAGCCATCCACTACAAACCAACAAGACCACCACTGCATTCACAGCATGAGGCAAGCTGCCTTTTGTTTATATAGCCCACCTGGGACTGTGCATGAAATGTATAGCCCCTTCCAGACGCCATGTTTTCACCTTGCAGTTGAAAGGCAAAGACAGAGCTTCTGGTTTAAAAGCAGTCTCCAGCTGGCTCCAAACACCAGAGATAGAGGTCGATGCTCTCTATCGCTGCCTCCGCTGAGCAGTCTACCCTTCAAACGTTCAGACAGCCATGAGACCCCCCAGAGACCATCAGTTCCTGTTCTGTATCCAGCTCTCACTGCCGCTGCTGCCCTTCCCACAAACACACACACATACATACACACACATCAAGCGTTTAATTCATACCAGTGTGCTCTCTGCTGCTTCAGTAAGGTGGCGGCTGCCTTTTTGCACCCGAGCGTCAGGAGGTGAAAAACATCTGAGAGGGAAAGAAAAAAAGGAAGTCGCAAAGTTCACTGTCAAAACAACCTCAAGTGTTTTCAGGAATTAATTGAAGGCAGCTGGATGTTGCTGCGAACTAAAATAATCCCCATTCATACTAGATTTTGTCCCTTTTAAACCAAGTGCTGTCATCAGATTATGTTATAACATTAAATATACAGACACCATACAATAAAATAACCCTCGAGTAAACAAACAGCTTAACAGAGCTTTTAAGGTTGAGTGTTTGTTGAAAATGTCAGGGGTGCTGGATTTGGATTGCGCTGTTTTGGTACACGCTTGAGATATTAATGAAAAAGCACCTGTTTTCCCAGGCTGAGTACTCCTCGTGACAATAAACTGACAAACTGACATAAATGAATAAACTAGGTGAAGTTTCCTTTCTTAAATAACATGCCGATCCCGACAAAATAGTCTGATGAATACATCCTCCAGCCTCTGTCACACTTAACCCTCAGTGTAAAACTTGTATGTAAACCAGATTTAAGAAGACAAAGAAAAAAAGAAAAACCTTGTGCATGGAAATTACAAACTGGCAGTACAAAAGACCAACATTAATTCATCACTAACCATGATGTGCTCTCCTACATCAGTGACAATGGGAAAAGGGAGCGAGCGGTAGTGTCTCATCTACAGTGTGGGAGAGTGGGTGCTGATTGTTGGACAAGGACAAGTACTAGTTCAGTCATTTTCAAGAGGATCACCTACTCCCACAAACCGCTCACACTCAGCGGTGAATGGAGAAGCCGCATGAGTGCAGGTGGACGCAAGAGGTATGACTCCGTGGGCGGCTCAAAAGTATGCTTGACAGCCTCTCCTGATACCAGTCATATGAGAGCCACATGGCAGCAGCCCCCCCCCCTCACCTGCAGCAGAGAGCCAGTGGGATGTGAGCTCTGTGATAACACTCATTTTCTGCTTGGATGAACTCAGGTCAAATAACTGAAAGTCACATGCTTAAAGTCTGAAATAGCTCTGGTTTATCCACTGCCACACTCTTAAAAAGTCAACACCCCAACAACAAAAGAGCAGATCATAACTGAACAGTTTCATTCCATTATGAGTCACATGTGACAACAGCGGCCGCCTTAAACCGAGTGGAAAAGTCATTTTTAGAATGGAAACTGAGACATTGTTCTTCAATAGTCATCAACCCCTGACCTGTGCTACAAATGTGTCTCCACCCCCCCAAGCAGTCCATAAAACAGTCCTGTATGGCCAGAAGTGATGCATAATTATATTGGATTAAACTGTTTTTATTAAAATGCCATTACAGTAAAATGTAATGTCCTGAGGCCCGAGTATACATTCTTGCCAGATGAGCTGGTTGTTAGGACAGCAGACAAAGAAATTTGACAATACTGGGAAAATGTGAAGGTCTTAGTCATTCGAGGGTTTTCCAGCTCAAGGATTTATGTACATTAGAGGCGTCCCTCCTGTAAAGCCTGAGGTATTACACACTTAATGATATGAGTTGTAAGCACACATTGTGGATTAGGGAGGCCACAAGCCTGGACTCCAGCTCTGTCACATTATTTGGTCTGAAATAGAGCTTAAGACCATTAATGAAACTGGACATTATGACTGTACAAAGCATGTATGCAGGCAAACACCGACTTGTGAAAACCATGCATCCTTTTTGTTTAAGTATGACGACTTGCTTCCCTGATAATTCAGCTTCTTGGTTAGATGTATGACAAGTTTGCATCTTGGGGAGGAAACCCCGACAGTCATCTTAAAAGTGGCTGTCTATTCTTTATTTGGTTAAAACCTAATTTTCCATTTGGATTCTTAGTGGCAATCAGGTAGACACTGAAAGCATAGTTGCCCTGGTGAGCACCAAATAAAGCCTGAACCACCAATATGTTTTAACAAAATTTAATTGAACAAGCTGCACTTGACAGCAACTGTCGATACCAGCTGCATTCAAAGAAAACCCCATGCAGACTGACAGCATTTAACCACCTCTACTTCACTTGCACCTCATTTCAAGCTCTGTTGCCAAATACAAATAGCATTACTGTCATCTAGTGGGAAACCACAGCTATGTCAAGGCAAAAAAAAGACAGTTTTATTGTTATATATAAACATACAAAAAAACAAACAAACACTGAAACCAGCAGTCAATACGACACATTAAACAGGAGGACAAGCGACTTGAGCTGGAGCAGATGGCTCAATATCCTGCAAACATTAAAAAGTCAAGTTAGTGCATCATTCTGATCAGTGATCACTGTCCACATGCTTTAAAGACAAAAGAATCTGCTATAGTCTTACCGTTTTTACGTCTTCAATAACAACCACGCCTTTCCCCTGGACCTCAATGTCACTTTCCGTATTATTTTGTGAGCAGTACTCTTCACTCTCCGTCTCGACAGAACTGGGCTGAGAAATTTGTCAACATTAAGATGACTGACGTTTCCTTTGAAGCCATTTTGTTAAATCAAATGCGCACAATTGTACTTTTGAGTCTAAGCATTATATGTTTGCTACAAAGTGAACACGTAAACGCAGATTTAGAAATACTCAAGTCATGAATGGTCATCCTGTTTAGAACATTTCCATACCAATTTCAGTTCACATGTTAAACCAAGAGTAGTACATATTTGGGATATAGCGCCAACCTCGTAGTCAGGATCCTCCTCTGGGCCTTCGTCAGCGAGCTCCTGAGTGAGTGCCTCCACCCAGGTCTGATGGTCCTCTTCTTCCTCCTCATCCTCCAACTCATCCTGTTTTCTCTTGCTGCCCTTTCCGCAAGGTTTAGTGGGAGAGACTCTGATTTCTGTTGGGAAACAAGCTCATTTAAAAAAAAAAAAAAAATTCCCTCTCTGCCACATCTGTAGAAAAAGTTTCCATGACTTTCAAAACATCAAATAGTAAATCAGACTTGCATTGCACAATTTTTTTTTTTTTTTTTAATAAAAAGTGAAGTAAGAAAACCCTAGTTGACAGACTTTGCACAATTTCCCCATGGGCCAAGAAAGTAGTCATTTGAAACTGTTGCACTTAGCAAAATATAAATCTATCAATAATCAATATCAATCTAATCTACAACTGGAATTATATTCTTGCTAAGGACATAACCTCAAGTGTGTTGAGTGTCAAGTTTCATTTCAGCCATTGTGACACCACACAGTGGCTGATTGTTAGGTGTAAGCCATGACATCTATGTGCAAACACTTACGCATCACTGGTTTTAGCAGGCCCCAGGTGAAGAAACCAAGAGACTTCCTGCCACAGAGTGTTGAAAGGGTTAGCTCGATTAAAAATAGTACTTTTACCTGGGGAGAGGGAGCGCCCAATGCTGCTTGACACGGGGTAGCCCAGGGCGCCCTGCACCCAGCGGGGCAGGATGGACAGAAGCAGGCGGGTGACCCGGTGCAGGCGCTTGCGGCCTGCGAGGTTCTGGCGTGCAGGACTGGGAACCGCGGGGCTAACGATGGCTATCTCCCTTGGCTGCCGGAAGCCCATGACCCACCAAACCCCGTGGTATGCACGTACCTGTAAGCAAGAGCTGGTGTTAAATCGGGTGTACAGCTAAAGAGCTAAGAGGCTAAATACAAAATCTGCATTAGGTGCTGCACGTACCACGATGCCAAATGGCCAGAAGAGGCCGCGCAGCATGGAGCGAAGCACACCGTCTCTCCTCACAACTCTGTCCTACAGGTGACGAGATCAGACAGGTGAGAACTACCACAGCCGCACACATGTTCTCATGTTGCTACAAGTCGACGCTAGCAGCTAGAGTAAACTGAACGGCTACAAAACAACATGGCTTTAGTTTGCCGTCTATCTTTACCTCCGTGTTTTCGGCCTGCTCCTGCTCCGTGGTGTCTCTGCGGGGTTCACAAGTCATCCTGCTGCGGGTCAAAAGCCTGCTGGACCAGCCGGGCTGCAACGAGGAGGAGAAACTGAAGGACTACAGTAAGTGCGGGTTTCGACGCGGGGAAATGTACTCTGAAATCACTGCTGTGTAGCCAATCAATGCAAAGCGATGCACCTGTAGCAATCAGGGCGGACCAATGAACAAATCCCGCCAATTTGTCTGCAACAGGCCAAGGAGGGTGGTCACGTGACCAGGTTGGGCTATGGCTCTATACGAAGAGGTTTAAAAAATGATCATAAGCTGCACATTTTGTGATTTACTGCCATGTGGATACAAAAAAAATGAATTTAATTAATAATATGGTTTAAAAATGATCAGAATTCAAATAAAATAAAAACAATAAAACAAATAGGCCAATAGTATACATCCTTGTTTCAATAATGTATGACTGAATGAATGATTATGAATGCAACATCTCAAGTGAACTTAATGATGATTTACATTACAGTTATTTTCATTTATAGGTAATTTGGTCAGATTATCAATCATTGCCCTAAACTGTATCCTTGCATTTCAGACATCATGACTGGCACATAACTCTGTTCAGGAACATATATCTTGCACCAGCATTCACTCATATAGAATAAAACAACCTTTTTCCATATGTGACAGTAAATGAAAACTATCTAATACTATACTTAATACATGTTTTGTACTGTTGATCAGACAGGACATCACCTTAGGCGTTAGGAAAGTGTGATGGGACACTATTTTCTTACATTCTATAGACAAAACATTTTAATTGATTGATCAAGAAAATAATCAGCAGATCAACTGATAATGAAAATAGTCAATAGTTGTGGCCCTACTGCTCAGAAAAAAAACAGGCAGAAAGTATTTAACTGTGAAAGGTTCCTTGATTAGTTCTAAAAAAAATTAGTAGAATTGGTACATCTTAACTTCAGTCTATACATCACTCATGGAGCCACCAGATGCTCTGGGAGGCAGGGGGATGCTGCTGCTCTGTCTGCTCTTTAGCATATGAAGAGACTTAAGAGAGAGGCCACACGATTATGCTTCCATACTTGAGAAGCTCCCTAATTGGTAACCGTTTCCGGCACTGGCTTCCGTCACATTTACGTATCTGTTGATGCATTTGGTGGAGGACAAAATGCGGTCAGTATAGATGTATAAAAGCTGCCTGTCATCAATCCTCTTGCCAATCTACAGACGAGCCTGTGTGCAAAGAGAGTGGAAGACATTCAGACATGTATAAGAGCACAGTCACACGGACTTTCAGCATTGGAGCTATTTGCAGTAGAACCGAAGCTTCGGATGATTTCTCCACAGAACGCAGGCACAGCAGCGCAGGGATCCGTGCACTCTTGTGGGCTACCAGCAGTGCAAAGTCCTTTGGTTGTTCTCTGGGATCAGACTCCCAGACAAGCCGGGAGAACATTTTTCCGAACATCCTAACACCCAACAGCATCCCACAGTTCACTATACCAAGTCTGTCTGTGCAGAATAGCTTAAGATCACTGGACAAGGAGACAGAGGAAGATGATGAGGAGTCAGAGGAAGGCTTGGGGAGTTCTAGGAAACAGCAGGAGTCATCTGTATCAGTCTCTCCGATCTGCTCCACCCTCTCATCAGCCACATCATGCTCAGGCTTCAGTTTGGCTCTGTCAGAGCGCAGAGCTGAGCGGAGTGTTTCAGACCCTTTAACGCAGAGGAGGTGTCTCCTCCAAAGGGAGGGGTCCTACCCATGCTCCTACACTGAGGCCCAGCACTGCCTGGACCCCGCCAGCAGAGCCGCCCTCTCCCTGCCACACCTGACCAAAGTCACCACCCCATACGGCTTCATCACCTTGAGTCAGAGCCCTCAGATGGCGAGCGAGGAGGCACTTCTCTGTCAAGCCGGGCTACGCCGCTTAACCAAGGACAAGGAGACTGCATGCGGTCTCAGGAGAGCTCCAGGAACGAGGACAGGAGACATTAAAATCAACTCCACCCACCTGTCTGGAGTCAAGAAGAGACTGTCCAAAGACTCAACTGACTCACAGACTAAAGGAACATTAGTAAAGGCAGAGATAAAAGCTTCTGCCTCCTCCACCAATGCAACAGTGTCAACTGCCTCTGCAGCCAGGCACACAGATGGCAAGATTAAACGCCGCTTCTACCAGGTTATAAGGAAACATTTCACCTCCTGCCATTAGGAGTGAAATCATGGCACAGTTTAAATTATGCATTTTTTCATCTAATAAGGCGCTGACTGCCATTAATCCTCTCACGAAACACGTGTTTTTGTCTCATGTCAGTAGACAAAACTGTGAGTATGACTAAGCTGTAAAAAGTTATGAAAAATATACCAATTGTCACATCAAAAAATAAAACATAAACAAACAGCCACAATATTGTGTGTTTCTATGTGAGTCTCTCATAATCAAGCTTTATTTCACAGTTCCTTTTTCTTGTCTACCAAAAACAGTTTGCTCGGCAGCAAGATCAAACTCTTGTGTTGAAGAGCACGGAGGGTCACCTTTAAGATTCTCATAATGTTCAGAGTGAATACCTCACATCAGCCATGTGTTTAAGGTTAATGAATTCTTCCACCGCTTTTATGATCTTAAATGTCAGTTCCTCTCAGGCCGCTCTCAGGCTCCTATTCACTCCCTCTGTTGAAGATGTCTTTGCTGTTTCCACAGTTAGCCTGAACTGTGTCCTGCAGCAATGAATGTGTGTTGATGCAAGAAAACAAGCCATTTTCCTTGATCCTTAGCATATGAAGCGGTTCAGTAGAGAGACCCTTAATGATGGTCACCTAATGCATCCTTAAAGCCTGTGTTCTCAACTCTCCCACACACTGAAATGTAGTGGGTAAATATCATTATGACGCAGAGCGCTCCGTTTTAAGTGGAGGGCGAGGGAAATACAAGAGTGAGTCCCTGGATACAAGAATGGATTAAGGTGATCTAAATTTATAATCACTCACTGTGTTGTTTGTTTATGTGTGTAACCTCTCTGATTTTACATTAATGCTAAATAAGGTTTTCCGCCTTTATCAAGTTCACTCACAGTTCAGTTGCTCAAAAAATTAAAAGAGAACAAGTTGCATTAGTTCTCTTCAGTCTACTGTGCTTCATCCCAGAATATAACTGTATTCTTTTATACTGGCCCTCACCCAGTGATATAATAGTAGAAATACCATATCAGTACAACACAATAAAATACAATACAATTTTATAATCATACAGTGGAGTCAACACCTCTCTAAAACAGTTTCAACATAATCTGAACATTATAATAATCATGAGGGGAAGATTTATTAGGACTGTTTTATTAGTTTTATCAAGGTGTACCTGATAAACTGTCAGCTGAGGGTTTATTTCTCTTGTAAATTTATGTGATGAAGTGATGGTGTGTACATTAAGAAACCTTAGATATTTGTTGTTCCCAAAACTGAAAAAAACATTTTACACTCTCTTGCTACATTGACTGAAAATTCAAGAGCAAAAGAAGCTTCTTCATACTTTGGATTTGGCTGATTATTTCCATTTCATGCTATTTTATACTCATACTTCACCACATTTCACGGGGAAATATTGTTCATTTTGCTCCGCTAAATTTATTTGACTGGTTACTTTTGTGATCAGCATTTTACGTTAAAAAACAAAATTCAGTGTTGTTCTACCAGAGTGGTTTCCCCTCTAAACTTAAATCAGGTGGTTTCATTTAGGTAACTGTTTGAGGCCCAAATTTAAATTTATTTAATATTTCACAAAGTGTCTTTCATTTCCCGTTAATCACCTCATCACCCCTCAGATTTATCTGGTGACCTCTGGACTGAACTATCTAACAGTATATAAAGTAATTAAAACTAGCTCCATCTCCACCAGCTACAGCAGTAAAATGTTGCTTACACACTGATGCCATCAGTATGAACAATATAATAACTTATTAGTCACAGGGGACAGGTTTCGGAATAGTGAGCACTTTTAACTTTCATTGCAATGCAACTCAGTAATTTATCTTGTTATTTACATCTGTGTTTTACAAGTCAATAGTGCTGTGAAAAAGTCTATTCAACTTAATGTTCACTTCACTTTTTCCTGTGGTCCTCTGCGCCCCCCTGCTCGTCATATACTGCCCTGATAACATGAAGACATTCAAAAACATTTTTGACCAATAAAACAGGGACACTGTGCAGAGCAGGTGACTCAGTGTGATCCCATGACATGTGCATCCTTCTCTTGTTTTCTGTTCTCAGATGGAAGTGAAAACAAACAAGTTTATCTAGTTGCCTTTACCAAAGAAAAAGACAAGCTGGAGACATTTAACGCTGAAGTGCTGTTTGTTCGCTACAATACACATGCAACATTTCTATATTGTATTTTCTCCCTTCAGCTCCTCATTAGGTTGTTGCATTTGGCATTGCATGATATCGTCAATCACAACAGGTCTACACATTGTCATCATGTTTTTCAATTAGATGGTAAGTATTATGGTATAAATATAGCAGAACTGATCATGAAAGAAATGGCTGCCCTTTAACACAGGGGATGTGTGAGTCATTCTGGGATGGGAGCACTTCAGCCTCAAGAATACACTCTATCAAGCACAATAGCACAATTAATGACAACACTCAGATAGTACAATATAATGTCATAGACATTTGTGTGGGGGAGTTTTCTATTTATCACTGACATCACACAGGTGCTTGTTACACTTACCAGGATATCCAACATTGGTTAGTTGTTTATACTTGAGTTGCTTACTCACACTCTTGGTCTATAAATGCACCATGGTGTGAGACTTGGTTTGTTTGTTGATTGTAAATACTAATACCAGTCATTATTTATATTCAGGATGATCCCACCTCCTCACCATTTATGGTAGCATAACCTCTAGTACAAGGTGGGCCCACTGGTGGGCTGTGAAGGTATTGCAAGTGGGCTGACAAATTTTTTTTTACGTTTTAAAATGAAATGATGCTTGAAAATATTACAAATGTCAAAAAACTTAATTGTTTTTTTCTTTTTTCTCATATTACTGTGATAAGTCAATTATAGGAACTTTTATTTTGTCAACACCAGATCACATTGTGTAGGCTATTTTTTGCCTTCTCATGGTGATTGCACAGTAAAGATTACATCCATGGCAAAAACTGGAATATCAAAATGGATACCTGTTTAGCATCAGAAAAAATTAAAAGTTAAGAGAGTCAAGAGACAGATGGTGAATCGACAAGCGATCTCTCATCCAGAAGGTATTATTGTTTTATTTACTGTCTTTTTCTGCTTAAATATTTTATCTTTCCTTTAAAATCAAGATGCAAGCACCAAGCCCTGAAGAGCTTATTGCGTGTGCAAAAGCTAAAACTGCATCATCCAGGAGAGAGTTCACGCTGAGGTTTCACATGGCAAATGTAGATCAACTGCAATGGAGAGAAAGAAAGAGAAAAGAGTGCAAATTGAAGGGCCTCTGCTATAACTGCTTTTCCCTGTTCTGCCACGTTGAGGTTAGCTCAGAGAGCATTTTGCCCTCACTACAGACACTACCTTTCCGGTACCAACCTCAAGCTCAGACAGAAAACGATTACAGCAAAAGATAAGCAGAGCAGTCTCATGAAAATTAATTCACTTTAAAACACACGAGAGAGTGACAGGCAGAAAAAAATTGTCAGGGGAAGTAACTGAGAGACAGGAAGTGTTTCATTTTCAAGCTGAGTTAGCCACCTGTAAGTCTGACGTACACAGTGTTCAGAGACAGCAGTGGTGTGTGAGGAGGTGGAGGAGAGGGCAAGCTGCTGTAACTTAGTAGATTCCTGATGGCGTCTGGATCAGCCAGCAAAGCGGAGGAACTGCCACCAGCGCTGCCTGTCAAACAGCACAGGTAAGACCAACAAACAAAATATTTGGTCAGTCTCTTACAGATCTTAGCAGTTATTTTTAATGATCCCACTGATGTTCTCATTGAGTTTTCATTGTGGTTAACCCTGATCTTATCAAAAAATATGAATTACTTGGGACACAGGTTGATTGTACAGCATAGGATTCTGCAGTGGATGCACCACAGACACTACATAAGAATCTGTCTTTTTCAAACTTTTCGAGATGCTTTTTGCAGACACAAAGTTTTTATTTGAGAATAGTTGCAGTCTGCTTATGCACAGCACATGTATTCATAGTAAAAGGGTAAAGGTTTTCATTACGCTATTCTTTTTCTTACACAGGAGTCACTCCAGCGTGGAGTCTGACTGTGTTATGCTCAGCCCTGTTGGACTCCAGCACCAAACCTACGCATACAATGATGTCTTTGCTGAACCTACTGATTGTCATGCAGCCCAGTGCCCCATACACCAGCGCTACGGTGGGTTTACAGAATGATGAAATTAGTTTAAGTGAGGGAAAGTAGTCACATATAGTAAATACCATGGTAAAAACAAATCAGTTTAATGTCACCTAACTTAGTGCACCCCCCGAAGCTATTTGGTTCTCCAATTCTAAAAAAAAAACTGACTGACGTATAGAACTGTGTAGGAAAAAAAGTGTGGTTTGCCTTACAGTTCGTGAGAACTGAAAGAGAGGAAGTTACCATCTGAATCTTTTACTTGCTACAAAATGCATGTGAAAAATACAGGTTACGATGACCTTGAAAATAGTGCGTCAGTGCTTTTGGAAGTGTGGATGAAGACATTCTAGAGATGCTGTGTCCAAACTGTTGTCTCTTCATCACTCACTGTTAGAGTCTGACCTACATCCCTCCCACTGTGTTGCTCAGATCCCTCTCGACACCAGGAGAGATTTTTCTCCGACGGCACCCCACCACCTGTTCCAAAGAAGATGTTAGCTCGCACTCTCTCCCTCCCTGGCCCCAATGCATCTCCGCTCTCTCCTTTGTCTCCCCTGTCTCCACTGCAAAAGCACCCTCGAAACTTTGATAACCCTTTGTACATGCTGGCGCCAATACCTGACAGCTGTTTCCAGCTGGACACAGAAGAGGTTACACCAACTAGAAGGGGTCCTGTCCCCTTACTGTCTTTCTCCCAGCTGACCTTTGACACCCCAGACGAAAATCTGCCGTACCTCTTCAGCAGCTTTGATGACCAGAGAGTTGTCTCTCAGGGGATTCAGCATCGCCATCTACTCTTTCTGAGAAGCATGGCACAGAGTGTGGAGGCCCGGATCCTGCTGCAAGGAGAGGCCACAGAAAAGGATGTCAGCTCATACCAGCCTCAGGATTTCCTGCTGAATGAGGGCAGCCAGCCAAAGCAGATCGGAGATGCTGTTTACTACAGCCTGCACAGCCCCAAGTTCCCACGGAGGGTACTTGGTTTAAGGGTAATATTACAGCTCTTTTATCCACCCTACTTAGTCTTTAACATGTTCTGTGTGCTTTTATGCATGACTATTTGGATGTATTCTACTATCATTACTTGCAGCAACATTGCTTTAGAAATTTCATGCAAAACAAAGTTTTTTTTCTCATTGCACATGACAACCAGTAGTACAAACATGATCTTTATCAACATTGGCAACTGTAACACTGACTTGCGGTATAAAAAAAAAGCACTTCCTCCAAACTGTCATCAGGTGTCACATCTGTAGCAGGAGTGCACAGTGCATATATTTTTGTATATTTAACAGTAAATTTATTTTGATTCTTGATTATAAGAGTTTTCTTTCTCTCTGTGCAGGTACACAAGCAGACTAATGAAGCTCCCTCGGCTCACGCCAAACACCAGCCATCACATGTCAATGTGCAAAATGTGGTTGCACATTTCCAATCCAGCAACACCCTGAGGAACAATTCCAGCATGTTACAAACTCAAGCTCTCCCTAGTCCTTTTAGGTCAGACCGCACTGCTGCTAAAGCACCAGGTGGAGGCAGCACTGAGTATGTCACAGATCCTATCAACATCAATGTGACTTCAGTTCAGTCTTTAATTCAGAAAGGACACTCTGTGAGCGTTGAGAGAGACCTGCCACATGCCACTCTAGAGGACTTTGTTCAGGACAGCAGCACACTGCACAGCTCAGATTGTTTTGTATACGATAGACAGGTGTGTGTTCTGTTGCTGCAGATATTATTGGGCTCACAACATCTGTACATCAGTGCCACTGCAGCTGAGCTCAGACCCCAGGAGATCTTTCTGCTGTGGCCCAGTAGCGAGAGGGAGGAGGGAGAAAACAAGTTACAGCAGCATGAAATGAAGAGAAGTTTCAAGACCAGCAGACCGAAAGAAGAAACGCAGTGGGAAAAGACAGAGAAAAAAGGCAGGATCCAGATGTTATGGAGAATACAAGGTCCGCCTCGTGTAGTGTTACACCCGCTGTCTTCTGCTCTCTCTGTACCTCACTCCCTTATTAACATCAAATCCCAGATTGGAGCCCTAATTCAATACTGCTTGGCCCCACAAGAGAGCTCAACATCTCTGGACTCACGTCCAAGTCTGTCCAAGTCTTCATACCGAAGGGGTCTTCTTCATCTGTCCTCCCAGCTCCAGAATGGGAGCAGCGGGCCTCAGATAGCAGATGTGGTGGCCACACTTCAGGTGCTCCTCTGGGGCCCTCGTGTCCCACTCTTAAATCACAGAGGCTCCACGACCACAGCTGTACACAACTGGCTGACAATCAAACGAGCCCTGCTGGTGATGAAGTTGGCAGAGAAAGGGCTGATCCAAGATCAGTCTGCTCTGGATTGGGAGGACTGCATGAGCTTGCAGTACCTGTCGTTTACAGACCCTGAAACAGTTGTGAGTGTGACCAGTCAGCCATGGCTCACTCTGAAGGTAGATTGACTGATCTATAGTCAGTATGTGAAAACTTTTGAGTCGATCAAATGAAATTATTCCTACATGACTCTAAAGTAGCTACAGTCCAACATAAGTTGTAAACTGTATGTGCATTATGTCAAATAGTGACAAACACACAAAGTTCTGATTAAGGGGGAAAAAAAGCCTTTTCCACCCTTGCTTCTTTTAACAATTAGGATGTTCATATACTGCTCTAATAATGTACAATTGTTTGATAAGATGCTGCACTTTGAGTTTTTTGTTGTTGTAATATTAGGATTTAAATGCCCTGAAGATTTATTTTCTTAATCAGCGCTTTAGAACGTAACTATTGTCAGCCAGTTCAGTGTTTATTTCAAAAGAAATTTCTGCAGTTACATTTTTCTCTGTTCCACTTTCACTGATTTGAAGCAGGAACTTTTGATAAATAATATCTTAATACATTTTTTAACTTTGATTGTTGCTACTATACACACAAATACTTGAAAAATCATTATGATAGTTAGAGAAATACTTAAAAGGGCTTCAAGTCTCTTGCCAATCAAATTCTTTGCTACAGTTCTCTTGCTTGTCCACACTTAACTGTATGATTATTTCTAATAAATCAATATGATCACTACAATAACAGAGCACTAAAGGCCTCAGTATTCTTAAAAGGAGGTGATTGTCAGACCAACTGATAGCATCTGAAAACCCCTTTCCAACAGCAGAATTAAATTAGCATTTTAAATGAGTGCAACCTTTTGTAACAGGTGTAAACACTTCTTAACATGTGGTCAGACGACACAGCCTGGCCTAGATCCTTCGAAGCATACAGAGTATAACTCTTACAGGCTGCATGTCTACATGACTTCACAAGACCACAGATGCCACTGTCTAAGGTGAGCACTTTTATTTAGTACAGTTACAACATGCAGATTTTTATCAAGTGAATCAAAGCAACAAATGAAAATCATGCACACATTAAAAAAAAAAAAAAAAAAAAAAAAAAAAAAAAAATCAATATAAACAGGAGAATCAACTGATAATTACCATGAAGACATATCTACTTACATGAGTAAGATGAATTTAAATTTATCATAAATATTACACTGTGGAGATGATCATCAAGGAGTTCAGGGGGTGGGGGTTGAATAGGAAGTCAGCACTACACATCATGAAGGCTAATACAGTGGTGAGGACACAATGCCCGGATATTATGTGGGCGCTTGCTTTACATTCCTGGTATATTAACATCTTACCCTAGTGCAAATATCATTGAAACACAGCACATGGTAGGTAAAGGTAAAAACAAAAAGGAACCTGACAGGAAACCTCAACCATACTGAACTTGGATAATATATTCATTTCCAAAAATTATAAAGATGTGTGGGTATGGATCGAAATAAGAACAACAAACATTTGTAACTGCTCAGCGTCATTTAATCGTCATCAGAGGAGTCTCGCTCGATGCTGTAAGCCATGAAGAAAGCGTCAGGGCGGGAGGGGACAAGGGGATGACCCGGTCTCACAATCTCAAAGCCCAGGAAACTGAATGTACGCAGCAGGGATGCTGAGGAGAGACAAGATGTAAACACCTCATCTAAGCTCTGATGTAGGAAAATATTTATTTTGATATTTGATAAAGTCTAAATTGGCAAAAGAAAGAAGGCAATGAGAAATTGTCAGCAATTCTTCTAATAGTTAACTAACTGATTTTGCCATGCTAGGGGGCAAATATAGAAACAGTGAATCACTCAAATCTATTCTATCTAACTGTTAGCATTACAAGTTTGTTTCTTGCTATGCAGTCACTCTTCCTCGGTTTGTACTAGCATGTTACCTCCTCTTTGATTTTAACATTTATTTCCTTTGAAAACTAATAACACATCTAATTATAATTAAATCAAGTTATTTTTTTCTAGAGTATCTACAAATTAAACAAGTGAATAAGTTTAAAATGTATTTTCTAAGTGTTACTGTACATTTCACATACAGTTATTAGCTACCAACTCTAACTATTCAGATGGTTCAAATTTAAACAGCTGGTGCTTTATCAGGGTGTTTATTTCAAGCATTTCCAGTTCAGGAAACCAAGTCTTACCTCTATCGTCACGGTTCTTGTGAAAACAGATGAACACATGATCAACCTGCAGCTGCTCTTCTGCAAATTCCAGAAGAAGGGCAAAACTGTGATGAGACAAAGCAAACAAAAAAGCGTTAATGTATCATAGGAGGGATGTTAATACATTTCACAAGAAAATAATTATTCATCATGGTCAAAGTACATTTCTATGAACCATAACAATTCATAAAATCAGATCTTAAAGATAAGGTTACCCAAAGACTTCATCCATTTCATACATTTATCGCATTTTACAAATTATTTGTCATTTTTTAACATTTACAGACATTTTTATTTTGAACAGTTCGGCTACTATGCAAATGAAAACCAAGGGTGAGTTTTACTTTGGCATTTGACAACATATTTGAATACCTTTTGCAATTGGTTAATAATTTACCTTTTGTTTCATTTCAAAGATAAATATAATTTTCCTTTTAATGTTTTTCCCACTGACCTGTCTTTGCTGCCCTCGGGCAAAGCTCCAGGAGGGATTTCAACGTAAAGGTTCCCCCCTTTCAGTGCTGCCCTCCAGACACAGTGCTTTCCTTCAGAGCGACGGGGCTCAAAGAGCAAGAAACGCACTCTGCTGTTGGCAGCTGAAGGCTCCTCAAGAACCAGCAACTGAGCATCCTAGAAGACAGCAAGGAAAGTGTGAGACAAGGGAAATACTTTCACATCAGATGACATTAAGAACAAAGTTACAATTAAAGAGTGCAGGAAGGGAATGCAGTTATGACTTTAAGAAACCAACTTCTCAAATTCACTGACTGTTGATAAGAAAATTATGAAGACAATTACAAAAACTGTCCAAGGCAAGTGTTATGACTTCATTTTGATCAAGATTATATGACAACAAACAAGCAGTAAGTGAAGTAAGTAACTAAAAGTAAGTCAAGTGTACGAAGTTCAGCACCATTAACATAGTTTGTGTGCTGTGCAGAAGAGGACAAGCCTTAGCTTAGAGGCACACAAGGCAACTTCAGGTTTTTAGGTAAACAGACTAGGCACACAATATTTTGCCATCCCAACTTCATCTGGGACATCCTGATTATCATCAAACGTGTTTTGATCACCAGCCTTGTAGAAATTATGTGTCTAACCTTAAAGTTACATTCAGATATTACAAAAACATAGCCATGACACCCTGACAAAAAAATTTACATCATTAGCTTCATTGAGTTGAGAGTGATACAATTCAAAAGTGTTGAATTGCAAACAACTGCCTTTGTGTTTGTCTCTCTCCCAGGCAATAAGCTTATCTTTCTGCTGTTAGCTCAAGGTAGGTCCACACTGGCCCCAATCAAAACACATCAGAACATAAAAATATTTAAAAAGTGGTTCAACTTACAGAGTAGAATAGCTTAGCTGAAAGATTGCGATCCCGCTGGTCATTCCCTCGCCCACCTGGGATCTTCAGGGGTGGGAGAGGGGCATCAGGAGCACCACAGAGGCCCCGGACACGGGTTACTGCAACAGTGGGAGCACCTCCTGGGACTGGAGATACTGGAGGGTGAAACAAACACACACACGGACGGAGCCATTAAAAACTGAGTATTCACTCAATGTTCTGAACCAAACACAAACCAAACTCTCAATATAAACAGCAGGCTAAGTACACATTACACTGTTGGGTGATTCATCTGTGACATGACAGTAAAACATTTTCTAAAACCCGAGGAGCACAGTTCAATCAGTAACTGACCCCTTAGGCAATTTAGGCTCAGACATTTTGTATGTGTGACTGATAAGGAACACTTGACTTGTGCACATTAAATCAACAGAGAGGAGGGAAGAGTGGTTTATGTTGCACCAGCACATCACTGACTTTGACTTTCTGTCAAATATTCACTACAATCCCTCAAGACAAATTTAGTTTTCATCTCACAAAGATATCATGTTCCTCGTCACTGTCCTGTGTGAAAAATTTCATGTAGGAAGAGTAATGTTTTATTTCCAAAACTAACAGAATCTCGTGCCTCAGTTTCTCTGGGCCAACTTTAAGCTTGTCACATGATTATTTGGGGACGGCTGCCAGAGAAACAGGCTCTGTTTGTCTAACCATTAGCCTACTTCAGTCCTGCACTAACCATGTTGCTCTAGTTTACAACAGACAGGGACCAACACCACTTTACCAACTGCCACAGCAGCTTTCAGACATTCACAGGCGCTCTTACGCAAATGCCACTGCTGTGGTATATGTAGAGCAGATGTGTGAAACCCAAATGAGAAACATTGTAGCTCACAAAGTTCAGGTAACCCAAGTAAATTTGAAGTATCCAGCCTAATGCCTCATCATGCATAGCACTGGAGATTGCACACCAATATAGGTTCTCCCTAAATCCCATTATCAGATTATGTAAAACAGCCAATTACCATCTCTACAGAAAACCTTGTCTCTTTTTGCTAAGCCAGCACAAGGTTTTCAATCAACTTCTCCATTTAGCAGTCTTTGAAATCCCTATGTCCACAGCAGGCAGCAAAGCATATTCACACCCCGTGTTGTCCTGGTAAAGACAGCTGCTCTGGTCACATGAGCGATGAGTCTCTCTAGCCTCTGCTTGCATAAGAGCACCATTGCCGTGCATGAATATCTTGTAAAGGACCACTTATCTCTAGGAGGTTATCATTATGTAAGTATTGTTACAGCAAAGCGTTGCTGCTTCAGACTGACAACATGTTGTTATACCAGCCTTTCGTCGAAGTAGATGACAACATCAATAGCGAATGAGTAAGTAAATGAGTTTATAAAAGGCACCTGCTGCTGTCTAAAAAGCCATGGCTGACAAAGAAAACTGCATATTTTGCACAATCTTCAAAAATCGCTCTCATTGGAGTATTACATAACAGCGTATTGAATAAGGAATAGCCTCTGTGTACAATATGTTATCACTGGACTCAAAATTCCCCATACCACCACCCCCTCCTTCGCAGTGCAGTGGAAATTTCCTATGAGTCCTTCACAATGCTACAGAGCCAGACAAACAGCCCCGACCAAAATCTTGTCAGGACACGACTAAGCTAGAAAGAAAAAAAAAACCCCGAAGGCTTAAACGTTCACCTGCTCTTCAAAATTATGAGCCATATTACCAGGTAACAACCCCCACCGTCCTGTCATCTCCGGTCAATCAACACATTCTAATGGAAGAGAACCCGCAAACAAGGCAATGGATCGTCTACGGTCCATTGGTTGACAAATGTAACACTAATTTAGATTAAAACCCATAGCAACGGTTAATTTGAAATGATGGTTAGCTATCTCGGCTAATTGCGCCACTGCAAACCAAACTGGTTCATCTCATCCTTTACGAGAGCTTACAGGATGTCTCAACGTTCGCTAGCACCTGAGCCCGGGGCGAAATGGAAAAAAACAAGCCATGAAGCCACCAATGATCAATTCAGCCATCATTTCAACTAGGTTTGTTAGCTACAAGCTAACTTTACATAATTTATATAAATATGCTTATTGGCTCGTGTAATCTCGCAAGAGCAAATAGTCAATGTAAAGTATAATCAAACTATTGTGGTATTATTACCGCTGGCCGTTTTCACTTCAACCTCTACGATATGTAAACATTACTGTTGTAATACTAGAGCGCTAGCTGTGAGCTGCTGCAGTTAGCAATTCCCCTACGTTGACGTACATGTGAAAGTTCAACCAGCACACACCAAATAACCGAAAAATAATACAAGTTATTCGCTCTTTTTACACACGGTATATTGGAAAAATTACATAAGCTGGGAGAAATGCTATTATCAGCAGCTAACTCGACTCTTTTGACGTAAGCTAGGTAGCTAGCGCCACAGCGTTTCACTAATGCATTTCTATGGCGTTTCATATATTAGCTCATAGGTTAGCAATAGCTTGGCTAGCTAGAGCATGGATATCAACAGCAGCTTTGACCATGATTTTGTCTATTTGCTGGATACCAGTGTTGAGTAAACGTTGGTCGGAGCGGATACATTTCTGTAATTTAGGGTGACTTACATAAGCGTTTAATGGAAAGGTATCCAACAAAACCTGATCGACCGTCTTTTAGAAACGTCAACAAGAATAAATAGTGCTGTTATGTAAACAAGAAATATGGGGAGCACTGCTCGCTATTCCTGGAAATACACCGTATCTCTTAGCTAGGCCGCGGTTTTTAAACTTAGCTTAGCTTGCTAAGTTAGCGTATAACAATTCACATCGACAACATACCTCTCGCTTTCAGGTTTATTACTGGACTGCTCAATAACAGGCATCTCGGATAAGTTTCTCTCTTTTTCTCTAACAAAACAATGACTATTCAAAATCGTCTGTAGGTTAGATTTAACCATCCGGCCAGCGTCCACACCAGCTGCTCGCTCTGTCCTCTCCTCGTCGCCTACTGTGGGGGTGAGAGACTGCAAGCTGCGGTATTTGTCAGGGGAGTGTCCTATCCATCCTGACGTGTTACTGTCAAAATATCACGCAGTTAATGACCCACTTCACCACAACACTACTCAATGTATGGGTACAGCAGGTAAACGCCCTGTGTTGAAAAAGATTTATTAACGAATGTACTTACACTTAGTACAAGTTTTTCTAAGCTCTTGTGAGAGTTACACTGGGATACGTTTCATTATTACTGATGCATTAATGTGTAAACAGCATTTACTCTTGTAGCTGGTGGAAGTGGTGCTAATTTTGACATAATTTATATTCACATTTTTTTGTATGCAAAATTTGATTGTAAAGTGGTAACTCTGGCTCTCAAATAAATAGTGGATAAAAAGCAGCATTCTTCTCTAAAAATGTGGAGTAGAAGTATGAAAAAATAGTAAATAAATAATGATAAAAAAGAAAATACTCAAGTAAAGTGCAGGTACCTGAAATCTGTGTCGAAAAACAGTGCATGAGTAAATGTACTTAGTTACTTTCCACCACAAGTACAAAAACACTAAAACTAAAACACTACGTCCCTTATTACAAGTCCCTTATTACACTGGTAGCAAGGCTTTATTTTATTCTTCTCTAACAGGGCAAGGTTAATAAATCTTTCTCATCAGCAAATATAGGCAAATGCTGGAGACACTTGTCCACCTGTGGCCTAAATGCTGGTAAGTATCAATAGTATGAGTACACACTATGAATGTTTTCCTTTTTTCAACAACTCTCATCTGTCCCTGTCAATCAAGAAGCAAAGGAGCATGGTGCAGGGTGTGTATGACACCGTCTCTGGTGCCTGCAGATCAGAAATCACCATCAACACAACTGTACCAACCCTCACTTTTATGGTGAGGAACAACTGAAGAATCAAATCAGGTAACAATTCTTCTGTGTAGAGGTTCATACAAAATTAAACTGAACTTCCTCGAGTCATATCTGCTTTTTCAACTAACTAGCGAGTGCCTATTTTAAGCTGTCTTATGTTAGTCTATGACATACAGTATGGCAGCGTAGTTTGAAAGACTGTGCATGTGGGAGAACAGGTGCATAAACCTTGCAAAAACTGTAATTTTCAACTGTTGTTATGCAGGACAAAAACTGAATTCTTCATCTTAACTTCCAGCCTCATTTTGGATGTAATTTTAAAACTTGAAATCCCAACCTAAAGGACCTAAGGAGCCAGAGTTGGAACATCTGAAAATATCATAAGTAAGAAATATGTCCATCATAAAAACAACTGAATTTTACAGAGACTACCGTACATGTATCTGACTCGTTTGTGCCTTTCCAAAGTGTCTTATGACCGGATTCTGTCCATTGAAAACCTGAGTGATGTTCGAAATCCATGGAAGGGATTCAGTATGAACCGCTGCATAGTGCTGGCACTGGTCGTTCTGCTTGTGACCTCAGGGGTGAATGAAATGCATGGTGAGTACTGTAATGATGCATACAGAAAGAAAAGACAGCTGACAATGGAAATGTCTTGACTAAGAATAACAAACAAGCTATATCTAATCTTTACAGAAAGTTTTATTGGGTTTGTTTGGATTATTGCAGCAATATGCTACTTGGATTGTACATATATTCTTCACTCCTGCTTCTAACAATACTTTCTACTTTACTGCATTTTAATACCACACTTGTTGGCTGATAGTGTTTGTGTAATACCTAAACTCCTCCTCTGTTTAAGTCAACAGAACTTCAGTGTCTTTTATGTTTTATATAATTTTATATTATTTACTCGTAAGTCACTTTGGATAAAAGCGTCTGCCTAATGAGTGAATGTAAATATTGTTTTGTTTTCTAGATGCCCTGGATTCTTTTGTTGACGACTCAGGTATAAGGTCTTTCTTTGGAAGTCTGCAGGATGGATCAATAACTCAGGTATTGCCCATGACTGTCATGCTTTTAGTCATGTCAATGGTTTCAGAGTGGTACAAATTAATACAGGCCTTGATATATGTCCCTGTGTGTAGTTTGAAGATATAGCAAACTGAATGGTGAGATAGTTTATCTCATAAGCTCAGTTAGTGGATATGTATGGGGTCAGTATCAGCTCTGCAGGTACACTAGACATATTATATCAAGCTTATTCAGATCTCTTTGATCACTAATGTGATTTTACTGGTGTAAACAAAGTACATAATTTTAATGCCCTTTTGAAACGACCCTTTTGAGCTTGAGTGAATCCACCTTCTTTCACATGTTTGACAAAACTGAGATCGTTTTACATACAAGATTAATATCAGGCTGAAGAGTGCAACATATGAAACACTGTATTTCCCTACCATTGAGCGGAGAGCATCTAACTGATTCCGTAGACTTCAACAGGGAATGGAACCTGATTATTTTATTTATTTATTATGGGGATTAGAGTTGGCCAGCAGCACTGAGAGATGCCAGGGGTTACAGATATTTATTGTCTCAGACAAAGCTGTTGTTGAGCAGTTTTCGAAATCCTCTATGTGTTGTAAGAACAATCATAAGGAAGTACAATTATGGCAATACTTCACTGCATCATTCTACAACAGTATATTATATTTCACAAGGTCAAGGTCAATATTTGTTATGATTACTTCATTTTATACAAAAGTTTAGTGATAAGTGATAAGACATCATGGTACATCCTTTGGCACTCTCTGGGGAGCTGCTCCAAGATTTCTCTCTGTAGTCATCATCACTAATCAGTCTGTCTGTGGTCAGTTAGACGTCAGACTTGACCAAATGAAAAAAAATGAATTAAACTGAACTGTACAATCATATAGAATGACACATAAAATCAATCCCATTTAGGGTGGATTTCCAAAACAAAACAAAACGGTAATATCAGATCCTTGAAAGGACCATACAATAAGCAAGTGGATTAGGTTGTATAAAATGTCTATTAAGGCCATCACTATGTGAATCAGTGTGTTGTGTGTTGTTTCCTGTTGTCTGCCTCCAGATCTCCATATGGGATAATTTCATGTGGTGGTGGGGATCTGAAGAGGTTGGAGCGATAAGAAGAAGAAAAAAGCTGATTGGCAACAAAGTAATCCTGAAACCCAAAGCTAAAGAATAAAACCTACGCAGCTGCTGACAGGAGAGTGAAAGGCAAAGAAATAGAGGTCATGAGCTGTCACAACGGCAGCTTTCTGAATTAAGAATGCAAACAGTTGTCAGTAGACTTTGCATTTAATAATATAAAGTTAGAGAAAGTTACATTTAATCATTTTTTGTTTGTATTGTAGAGCACCATGTCTGCATATTTTAACTTTTCACTCAATCAATTAATCGATCTGAAATTTGTTTTTTAGAACAATATTTTCAATACGGGGAATCTTCATTATAACACAAAATATGGTGTTATAGAAGAAGTTTAAAATAATAAATAGCTGTTAACACATATATTTTTGTCTTCAATAAACTTGGATTATTTCTAAGTGTGAAACATTTTTGCTGTGTGCATCTAGGTAGGTTTATAAAAAAGTCTCTCTGAATTAACATATGTGAATAGGTGAATAAAAAAACATTAAATAACACTTTTCCTCCACCTAACAAGCTATAGTCAGTGACTATCAAACCAAACAAGTGAAATATCTCTCATGTCACAAACACACTCCAAAAAGAAAACAGCTTCAGCGGCATCCACACTCCTTTGCTACCATATCTGGTATCATGGAGAGGTAAGTCCCATGTTCATTCAAACCCACCACCTCAAGGGGTTCATAGGCAACAGGCACACAGCACGGAGCCCGCTCATTCATATTCCCACTCTCAATGTGGAAGTGGAGCAGCACGACATGGTCGTTTGCATTGGTCAGGGGGAAAGCACAAGAGCCATGGCAGTTTTTGATGTTGGCAGCGCTTGGACCAACAAGACGCCTTTCAAGGTTGACGGTGAGGCTTCTCACACTGCAGACACTGCCCCTCACCGGGTTATTGGTGTCCGCTCTGGTGGCTCGCAGTCCTCTCTGCAGCTCGTACTCACGGGCCACTGTCTGCAGGGCCTTCAGCAGAAGAAACGCACAGTACTGGCTCTGTCCTGTTACACGCAGACGAGAAAAACAGACGCATCAGGTAAAAAGTGGTAATACAGGATCTGGAGTTTAAACTGAACACATTTAGAACATAACAGGTGGTGTAGATGAAGGGGCACTTGAATTCATCTGATAGGATTGTGGGGAGACGTCTGACAAAAACAAAATGTTGGGGCATACTGCTGTAGGTCGTAAGACACTTTTTTCATGTGCACATCACCTGCTGCCTGTTCCATTGTCGGTAATGCACTGAATTCTTGAAGCCTCTCCAGCCTCTCTGTGGCCCTGTGACCCACCTCCTTCTCCCTTATTACTTCCATTATCTGCATCCCAATCTGCCCCAATCTCTGCCTGACCTCCTCCACCAGTGCAGGAGACATGGCCAGCTGTCCAGGATGCACCTGAGAAATGGAGCCCCATCTAGCGAAGGAGAAGACGGTAAGGAAAGAGGAGTTGATCAGTCCTGCAAGCAGGGTCTCACTGGAGGATAAGCCCAGTGACAGGGGTGGCATGGAGGGTAAGGACTCCAGCTGGAATGGAGGGGACTCAGGGTGGTGCTGAGGCAGGACGTCACCTAGGAACCGTTTCAGCTCACAGAGGAAGGAGAAGGTCTGTGAAGAGGCCAGAGATGAACCTGAAACGTGTGTTTGTCTGAGAAATAGAGTAAAAAAACAAACGTTCAGCAGCACCATTCTGACAATAGTCTGGTAAATATTTCAGTAGGGAATATGAAAGCTAAAACAACCTTGTATCAGGTCTCGTTCCCCCAGAGAAAAGCAGAAGTAGAGTTATGCTGATTTTACATCCTGTTTTTTCACCAATGAGGAGGTCTTTTAGGCTCTTCTCTAAAATGACAGGAAATGTTAGGAGAGCATGCACATGAAACAAGAAAATGAAAGCATGAGAAGATGGGATCTTACTCATAACAGGGGAATTTGTCTCAACAGAAATTCTCCATTGCTGGTGAACAGTGCCCTCTGATGCTTTTCCTGTCAGTAGTATGTACTGTGTTTCTCCTGAAATGCACGCAGACTGAAAACAACAACAACAACAACAGGAAAACTGGGCGACAGCATTTACTGTAGGTCGTGAAATCTGCAGGTGTCACGTACGAACAGACTTGACAATTTCATTCGTGCAATATTCTGTACCTGTTTGTTAGGCTGCAGAGACTGACTGGTGAAAGTGACGTCCAGGTCTCCTCCTTTGAATGGACTCTCAAATGCCAGGAGCAGCACAGGGCTCTGCTTGAGCAAGGGAGACGGTGGGAGGTCAAAGGTCAACTTGAGTGTTTCCCTGTTGTCTTCCTCTGCCACAAGCACTGATAGAAAGAACATTCCATGTTGTGAGATAAAAAAACAAAAAACAAACAAACATTCAAACAAAAATGACTTCAATGGGAGAGCGCTCGTACCTCCAGTCGGATGCAAAACCTCCAATCCGTTTCTCTGGTTTCTGCTTGTTTCGTTGGAGAGCTTTAATAAGACCGAGCCTGCTGAATTGTCAGACACTGTGCAGATTCCAAACAGAGTCAAACTGGCATTTGTGAGTTCACCGTCGTTCCCAACACCTTCACGCAATACTGCAAATACGTCATCAACAAAGCAAGGTGCATTGTGGGGGGCGTGATGAGAAACCATGGAGGCCGATATATCCATATGTGTATATATGTCCAGATGTCCATATGAGGCGTGCCGGGGCCAGCAGAGTATCAATACTCCGCAGCAGAGAGCATTCACAAGCTGCATACTTGTGCCTGTGTGATCAGACCTTTCTCAATCGCTTCTTTTGAATGGTTCAACCTCCAGAGGATGGGAGTTATGTACACCCACCTTCCTTTTCTCTAACTGGGGCTGCCAAAATCATGTGTCCTTGATGATTTTGACTGTGGATTCAGATTAATGATGGTGTGACCACACACATCCTGGGAGGAGATTAAAGACTGGACTTCTGTAACTTTCTCATGAACCAGTCACCGTCTAAAACAGGCCCCCAGGCTGGGAGGTGAAAGGTTTTATTGTCTAAATCCTTTATCTACATTATTCAAAGACAGACGAGTTTCGGTGCTGTGCAGCTGAGCTGAGCAGAGATCCTGAGGTGAAAGTAAAAATCTATATATAATATATTGCCCTTGGTGCAATGTAATACATTTACTCAAGTACAGTACTTAAGTACAAATTCATGTTATTTATACTTTCCATGAGTTTTTCCATTTTATGCAACTTTAAACCTTTGATCCACTACATCTCAGAGGTAAATATTCTACTCTTTACATTTGTGTGACAGTTTTAGTCACTGCTTTCTCTTCAGATAACAATTTTCTCTTCCTGTCCAGTGAAAAGCATGTAGATCCAAATTTAGTGATTTTGAATTTTTCTGATTAAAAAGAAAGATTAAGTATTGGCTAAGAGGTTGAAAACATTCTCGTACATCTTAAAATAGATATTATATTTAAAAATCTATTTTAAAAATCTCCTCTTGGATCAGCTCAAAAACAAAGATGAAACCAGGTTGTTTTTCTGAGCTCATGAAAAGTTGACTTTTTCAGAGATTCTCAGGTTCTCACAGGACAGTGACGCTACAAAGATATGATAATCATATATAATGATACATTCCTGTATATTAAACTACCCAACAGTATGTAAAGTAGTTCATATTTGCTCAACCATAAAAATCTACAACAGTAAAATGCAACATGTGCATTAAAGTGGCAGTAATACTGAAATAAAAACATCATATATAATACTAAAACACTGACAGGGAACATTTGTCTTTAGAATAAGGTAGTTTTGCTAATGCTTTTACTTAATTAAGGTCTTGAATTCAGGACTTTTTACTTGCAGTGGAGTATTTTCACAGTATTAGTACTTTTATTTAAGTACAGGGTGTTAATACTTCTTCAATCAATGTATGTTGTACTTGCAATGCAATTAAAATACTAGTTTAATAGTTTGAAGTGATCTTTGCATCACAGCCTCTTTTAGAAAACACTTGAATGTTGCCTCATCTAAAAATGATTCTCTCAACATCAGGACACCAAAGCGATGTCCAGAACTACAGGTTTATGGGACGGAATGTGCTGGATTTTTTCCTTGGCCAGAGGTCTCGCTCTACCTTCTCATCTAAATTTCATCTCTGTCTCTGCAAGCGAGTGAGGAAGCTCATTAACCGAAACGTTGAACTATTCCTTCAGTAGAAATGCCTGACATTGATGAGTCAGTCATCAATGATGATTGAGAGGCGATTTATTGTTCATGGCCAGTATTCTCCTGTGGTGTGCCTCTAGTTATCCTGCAATGTGTTGATCTCTCCAAAAGCCATCAGACTGTCAAACCTGGAGGGAAAGGACTGGAGTAAAAAAAAAAAAAAAAAAAAAAAAAAAAGCAGCATCTGGATGAACTTCAAACAAGGTGGTGGTAGAGCTGCATGCAACAATATGATTCACAGCATATTGTCCTAATGAATGTGTACAATAGTATCCATTACTACTTCTGGGAGGAGAAAAACATTTAGTAAGATCCTGCACTGAGAGCGGAACGGAGACAGGAGATCTGATTCCTATCAAAGACGTGTTACTCCCATGTCTGGTCTCACAGCTGCAGCTTTGTTTTGCAGACAGTCAAGGTCCCCGAGCCCTTTAGTGGCTGTGTATCCCAAGAGATAAAGCCAAGGTTCACTCTTGTTCGTTACAAATCTTCAGTGTGTGACAAGAATTATTCATTATTTTCTAATGTTATCAACAGAGCATTTGTTTCAATACAGGCTTGCTGGGAGGTTTTCTGTGAGAGGCATTTTGGCACAAAAACAAGCACACACACACACAGACTTCTGTGAATAGTGGTTCTAGGAACTCTGGCCATTTGTGAAGAAAGCAAAAATGCAGCAGCACTCCATCAGAAACAAGTAATCTAATCATTTCAGTTTGATAGAATTAAAACACATGGTGGACATTTCACTGTTATATATATATATATATATATATATATATACACATACATATATATATATATACATACATATATATACACATATATAGATATAGATATATACATACACATTATTTTTGACAAGTGTTGCCTTTTTACTTCCTTAGCATCACAGCTGTTGTTCACTAGTTCATTTCAAAATAAAACAGAGACAACTAATTTCAATGTGTAAACTTCAGTTTGATCTACGTGTCTTCCATGAGGGAAAACAGAACGGAATCAGACATAAATGCCACTACACAACAAAATTAATTCAAATATTATATGAAACATTTTTATTAATAATCATAAAACGCAGAAAAAAAACATTAATTCCATTTGTTTCATTATAACATCTTAGGATAAAAGCACCAACACCTAACAGTAACAATTTTTCCATGAAAACCCGGGGCCTTTTGGAAAGTAGGTTTGCCGTTATTGCACCTCAAACCTGCCCTGGCTTCACCAATCAGAGATCACAACACACATACTCTAGTTCACCTCTGTCCTTTAATGTCCATTAACCCCACCCGACCACCCCCAACGAATGGAGGGGATCCCAACAAAGGACGGTGAACCTCCTTCTTAGTGACACAAATCTAGACGGAGGCAATTGTGAGATGAGGAAGATGCTGAAAGTCATAGCCATTTCACAGCTTCTCGAGATCAGACTGACTCATAAAGCTTTATAAAGCTGGATTTCACTGGAGAGGCTGGATGTATGTGATAGTGAGAATGACTCTGACAAGACAAATGACTAATTTTTATCTTGAAATACCCTTACTGAGGGGTTTGTCTTGGTCCTGAGTTGGGTTAGAGAGGGACTTCATCATGCCACACGATGGTGAAATAGGTTTGTGACATGCAGTAGTTTGAAGAGAACCATTTACATCATTTCAAGTCAATCTGGGAAGTTCCTGAGTTAAGACCTTTGGCAGGATTTAGAGTAAACAGCCTCGACTGCAACGCTCTCACAGATTATCTACCAATAATGTACCAGGATGGAGTATGCTGGAGAACTGCATAGAAGCTTTAAGTTCAAATCATGATCATACACCAAAGGACTTTGAAAACAGCACCTCATCCCTTTAACTGATTATCCAAGTAGCTACAAAACTGGCTGCAATCTGCAATGAATATAACATCTGCCGTTTCAACAAACTATTCTCACAAACACATACACCACAGCGCCCCACCAGGTGAAGCGAAACTTCCGCAGGTTAGATTGGACCATCCAGATAGCCGCCAGGCAAGCTTGTGTTGAGGATTATTAAACCGTAAAACCCTGCAGCACAACAGGGGAAGAGTAGTATTTTAGTATCAATAGCTGCAATTTCCTTGTTTTAAGTGAAGGAGAGCACCGTGCTGTCTGTCTGACTAGTAGTATTAAAAACTGACAGGAATCTGAAGACAATTAAAAGCATAACATGTAACTGCAATTGTATCAAACACCAAGAATAAGAAAATCATAACAGCATCAACAATAATTACAAAGGACCTCTCAGTGCTGGTAAATGGACTCTATCGTCTCTAATTAGGTTCTAAAATGACTTTCTTCTTTTCACTTTAACACTCGCAGCTGAGAAACACATCTGTGTTTACAGAGTGAGTGCAAAGGAGAGGAGTTTACAATAAAGCTTTGATTATTACTCTAATCTTCCCTTAGATATGCACTGGCAAGTGGGAAAAAAGCACACACACACAAACTGAGCTAAGTGTATTCCCACTATCAGAGACACAAAACAAGCTTGGCTGCTCTCACTCCCAACCAAGTGATGCCTAAACACACCCTTAACTCAAGTGTTTTCACCAGCATGTCTCACAGTGTGCTTACATTACAAGGGAGGGCCTCGTCAGTAAGACATCTACAGACAGTGCGTGTAAAGAGGTTGACACTTAGTTCTGTATGCAACAGTAAAGATTTAGTCAGTAAAATCTGAATTGCCATTGTCTGGAAACAGAAGCACCATTTTTTCCTGCAGAATCTGGGTTGGTAGAAAAAACAATTAAAAAAAATAAAACAAAGACGTTAAAACATCTGATAAAAGTGATAAAAGTTCTAGTGCTGGAATCTAATTGTGTTTAAGCCACGGTATCTCTGTGTGTTAAACACACACAGCTTCTGAGTTTCTAGTTCTGTGGTGAGTATATCACAAAGACACAGGCGCTGTTGTGTCGCCATGTTGTTAGGCGCCATTTGCTAAGGTCCCGTGGTGGCAATGCTTTACTCTCCTTGGCTTCAAGCCTCCTGTTTAACAGGTTGAATTTAAGGGTCACAATGCCAGCACCAAAACACCCCTATTCACTTATATATATATACTCAAATATATATATATATATATATATATAGACTGTGTATAGATACATATTTTATATACCTTTCTGTTTATGATGGAGACATACAAGGAAAAACAAAAAGTTATGTACAAACAGTGTGTCTTGTTCACTTACAGATAAGCAGCTCGCTATTGAGAGCAAAGCGGGCTGATGCATGGTTAAAACAGCTGCGTGAGAAACATGAACAGAGGCCCCTTATACCTGTTTACTGAGCCAGCTGTTGCAGAGTAGTTTATCGAAAATTGGTGTCTACCGTTGTACACTCGGCATTCAAAGAACCAGACAATAGCATATTAAATATGAGAAAGGAAATGCCAAAAAAAAGGCTTTACAAATGTCCCTGTGTACAGCACCAA